TTCAGATACAGTACAATTATAGTGTAAATATATGCTCCCCAATGAACAGATAAATTTTTCTTCTTTCTCAGGAAAACAAAAACCTGGTGCAAACTTTTTCCTTCTCATAAAAATATCATAAAATTCATTATTCTAATTATTTTTTTTCTTAGTAGAAATTTTTCCAGTGGGCTATGAAATGAATAAAGTCATCTTTTGCAAATAAGTCTTTTATATCAATGCAAAAGTAGTCCAAAAAAGAAAATAATTCTTCATGATTGTATACTCTAAGCATCAGGTGGGGGTGGGGGTGGGGTTTGTTTGGTTATAGGGCCTAATACTGAGGAATGTGAAAAAGGAAGACATTTTTAAATATGTAAAAAAAGATGAAACATGAAATAAACACTTTATTCAATTTCAATATAAAGTAAATTTTTATTTTACACTTTGATTAGATGCCCTCCTGATATAGATGTCTGGAGCACATTCTGACCCCCATCCTGTGCACTACTGGCACAGGTGAATTTAATTTATCAACCAGAGGCAAGAAAAGAAAAGCAAAACAAATAAAAAGAAAAAAAAAGTGTTAAAAAAAAGAATTAACAAACTCTTGTATCAAGTTGTATAAATTCACTTTCTATGATTTGAACTATTCTCTGGCTTTTTCCTTATTTCAATGGGAATTTTTCACAGAATAAATAACCTTTATGGAAATTTGGAATAGTAAGACACAAAATATATATATATATATATATATATATATATATATATAACCCCCCACTGAAAAGTTTTTCCCCTTTGATTTAAATTCAAATTTGAACAAGGGAATGACTCCTATCCAAAATATAGAAGGAGAAAGTCAGAAGATGGAGGTCACATTGGGAAGATCATTGAGTAATATTGAAATGCAGCATTTTTCTCCACAAATTTTGACAATGATTTAAAATCATTCATCATTTTCTTACAAAACAATGTGTGACATGTAACAAGGAGTGGGTAATTCAGCTAGTAATGGCTATAAAATGAAAAAAAAAAGAAAAAGGCAAACATGGATAAATGTGCCCGCAATAAGACGGAAAGTCAAAAGAACAGTTTTTCCCATGACACTGTTTTTTTTTTTTTTTTTAAATATTCTTAAGCAATATTTATTGTTGTAAAAAGTGATAATTAGAATAAAACCTAAACATATGATGAAAATGATTCTATACATGTTCTTGAGAATTGGAAACAAAAATAACCAAACATTATTTATTTATTATATTATTTATTGGAATGGTTGGCAAAACATTGGCTAATTACCAATCGATTCAAACTTTATAAAATGGTAAATAATAAGGATTTCCTTAGAGTTGGTTCACATATTTTAATAATTTAGTAAATATTTATAAATTTATGAATAAAAATTGTTCTCATATTTATTTCTTTATAAATTGCTAAATGATAGATATTGCATTGCATTCATTTTAATTGTATTTGTTTTTAGAATGTTGTAAATATAAAATTATTCTTGTAAATTAAGAATCTAATAGTGTTTAATATTTTTGTTGTAAATTCTTGAGAACAAAAATGTATAAATTCCCTTTCTTCATATGTTTAGGTTTCATATTAACAAACAATAAACATTGCTGAGGGGTGAAGGTAGTTAAAATAATAGTGGTGTCAAGGGAAAAACTGTCATTTTCTTTTTTTTTGGCATGAAGGTCCAAGTTTGCCAAGACAGCTTTTTCCCCCTGAGAACCACTACTTTTTTTTTAACAGACTCCTGAGAGGATGCTTCCCTGATCACTACAAACTTAACCTTTTTCAAGTCTAGGGTCAACCATTATCCATCCTACATATCTTCATAATATGGACTTATTTCCTAGTCTTACATCCAAACAAGAAAGAATAATAATGGATATTGAAAACAGTTCTTCATATTTCAAACTGATGTCAGAGGATAGGATGAGGTGAGTTATTGGAGTTTGAATGGTGACAAACATTCTAAATTCTATCCCTCTATCTATGGTGTAGGAATACTTGATGAAAGACATTGCTGCCCATTGTATACAGTGCAGTAGTTGCCTATGCATCTTTATTGTGATCTGAGTCATCTAGCTATAACAGACAAGCATCAAATTCTTTTCACATTCAGTGCAGGGCAATGTTTAACCTTTGTGCAGGCAAAAAAACAGTGTCAAAAGTATGGTTATTCTCTTAACACAGCTATTACTGTATACACTTTTGATTCCCTTAGCAACATTTATTTAGAAATATTATAAAAATATGTGACGAGTGGCTTGAACAATTACAAAACAACTATGAAACTCTGGAGCTGGGGTGCTGAATATAACATCAATCAAATAAGTGACAAATTTTATATTTGTATTAATCACAAACACACACACACACACACATATATATATGATAAAATATAGTTTTAAGGTATGCTATATTTATGGGTTAAAGTGCTCAATATCAGGGATAGAATGTATGCAAATATAAAAGTAGACATGGAAATCAACACCCAGAGACGACAGTCTGAATCATGCTAAATGTAATCATCAGGCCATGTGCTTTGTGTTTTTGCTTGATGATTTATATATACAGGTTAGTGATGCATTGTGGGTAGTCTGTTGTCTTATTCTAACTGTTATCTTGGTGGGCGTTAATGGTTTTGAATTATTCTGGGGGCTACTGAGTGGGGAAAAATACTGGATTTGAATGGAGTTTTGGGGCTGTTTATGGTGTTGTTAGTTAGAGATAACTATATATATATATATATATATATATATATATATATATATATATATATATATAATTTAGCTCTTGAAAATATATTTCAATTAAGCACTGTTGACTGATTCAATAAACAACAGCCACCTGCATTAATGAAATAAAGGGTTCAGTTTGACATTCCAACCACCTGAAGTAGGCTGGAGTGTACAACGGCCGAAACGTTGTAATAAATATGGCGACAAAGATGAGGACAATAGTCTGAATAATGTAAATAATGTCCTCAATAGGAGTAGATAGGTCTGCCTATCGCTCAGTTCACACTCCTCCCTGGTCTTTTGAACAGGAGTAGAGGTTTAACCCTTGTTTGTTACTTAGGATTGGGTTTTCAATTCCTTCCAGTCTACTTCTAACGTCTCTGCATGAACTTTGAAATTTCATAAAGATGGGATTTTTTGGTCTTACTTGGCAGCCAGTCTGGGAGAAAGAATCAACGAGCCAGCTTCTCCCTGGTGTAAAAAAACCCAAAAGTGGACAATTATCTCGAGTTCAGTTTGTTTAAGCAAAAAAAAAAAAAAGGTTCTCTTTGCAACCGTTTCAGATCCTTTTTTAGTTTGAGTTGGTTGATTTTAACTTTTTTAAGACATGTCAATTCTGATACGGTTATTACTTCATGCCGAATTTTTTTGTTTGGTACACCCAGTGAGGATCGAAACTACTCACTACTCCATGGTCAATAAGATTAGCCTCGTTAACCAACCATATTATTATCCGATGGCGAACTCTTCATCATGGCGTTTGTAAAACTGCAGTTAAACAGCTAACCTATATATGAAAAAAGAAAAAAAAAAGTGTCAATGAGTCGGACGACTGCAGTGTAAAAATCTCTCCAATTATTATTGTCAAAGAAAGATTCATAATCTCGAGATGAAAAGCATTTAAAATAAGATTTTTATTCAAAGATGAAGAAGCAGAAAAGGAGGAACGCACAGACATATGCAAAAAAAAAGCATTAGAATTTATATAGAGAACAAATATTTTTAAGATTAATTTAAAAAACTTGATAGAGCAAATCCAAATATGCTTTTTACATGCTAAGTTTTCTCGCGTTAGATCAATTTACAACTGATTAGTGAGTTTGATCTTATGCCACATCTGTAAGCTATGCTTTTAGTTTTTTAGTAAATAAATCACTATTTTTCCACGCGTTCTAAGATAACGAAAGGAAAAAAAAAATTACACGTTAAAAGAATAATTCAAAGTTGCTTAAGAATGGTGGGAGAGATTTCTTTTTCCAAAACATAATGTGTCTCGAAGTAAAACTAAACATAAAAATTGGAAAACAATATACTTTTTTTGTTTGGCAAATAATGTGAATTGTGATTTGATTTTGGAGATTTTTTTAAAAAGAAAACTATATGGATACATATGCAATGCATTCTTTCGTTCTAAATTTGCGTACTTTTCCAATTTAATTCAGAATGTATTCATTTTTTTATTTTTTTAAGAGAAAGTCTTGTAGAAAGAATGAAATGGCATTTGATATTAAAAAACGACTATTTATTCATTTACGTCCGGATTTCAAATTGTAATCCTTTTTTTATTTTCTGACCCATTTTCGAATGCCTCCCACTGTACTTTAAATTATAGAAGTTTTATTTATTTAGCTTTTAACACCCAACCAAATTAAACAAAATCTGTCCCGGACGCTAACCACTGTCTTATGTTCGCCAACAGTCGCAAGCAGTCACATTAGTTGTCCCACCAAAAATAATTCAAAATTAGAACAAAATCAATTATAGCTATTATGAGCATCCGTAGTCAATAAATAAATCAAATTAGTACCCGTTGTGCTAGTTTAAGTAATAGTTGAATTAGGTTTGATAGTCCGTGATGTTCTAAAACTTTTATTCTTTCTTTCTATCTAAAAGCGATAATATTTTGATATGTGAAATATTAGTTATCAAATCAAATTTTAAGGGAAGTAAAATAAATACTAGAATATTTAATATTAAAGCTTTCTTTTTTTATGTCTGGTGTTTTAAGCCCCTCCCACCCTCGCCATCTTGTTGTCTATGGCAACACAACAGGGACAGAATATTTAAAAATTATTATTTTTTTTCTTTTCGATTTCATTCTTACGCAATGATCTTGGTTTCACAAATAAAAAATAGCAAACATATTTCGGTTTAAATTAAGAACACGAAAACTTTTTGAAAAATTAGATTGAGAAAAAAAAATTCCGAAAATTGACGATCTTTAAAATCGGTTCTTCCTCGATTTTCTATTTTTACTATCGGTTAACAATGGGACTTGGAAGGTACTTTTACTCGTGAGTACTCATTCGGCACTTGTTAATTTTTTTTTTTAATTCGAAAAACAAAAAATAAATTACACGCATCTTGGTATATACTTTATTTCCTGCTGGTATCTTAATCTTTGTTGCTTCCTGCCTATGCTGCAAGGAGTTATTTATTTTTTTTTAGGTCTAAATAGCATTTCATTTAAAATGTGTCATGCCTCCCCTCCTCCCTGTTATCCAGAATTATATCATTTAGCCATTAACTACCTGTAATACAAGACTGATACGAGTTACCTCCCTTGACTAAATTAAATGTTGAAATCATCATTATTATTATTGCTATTATTAGCGTGTTGCTTCTTTCCCAAAAGAAAACTTAAGTTTAAAATTCTGAAATGTTTAATAAATATATTAAAATCGTTTTTTTTTCTTTTACATTTTAATTCTTACATAAATCGATTTTATAATTTATTTCCTCTTATTGTTTTTTTTTAGTGTTGCGTTTGTCATTTTAAAAACGTTTCAATTCAAAACTTTTGAACGAAAAAAATTAAAAGAAGTAAAAATACTTTCCTTCGGATTGCGTGTCATCGAAAACAAATATTGAAAAAGTATAAGTAATAAAATAGATTTTCAAAATATTCTGAAGAATTTGCGAAAAAAACCCCCAGCAATTGTCGTTTGTCTTCAGTCTGATTTATGGTAAGGTGGTCACCTAGGTAACCGATAGTTCCTCTCTTAATTTTCAAAGCAAATTATTATTTTTATCTATTTACTTATTTGTTGCTTTAAAAAGAAATGACTTTTTATTTCATGGCCCACTTGTAAGTCAACAAAATTGGAAGGAAAATTTAATTGAGTTTTTTTTTTTTTTTTAACCCCCCCCAATTTTATGTTTTTTTTTTTTTACTGGGTAGGAGTATAAAAAGCATTTTATTTTTTATTTTAAAATGAATTTTATTTTTAATTAAACTAAAGTTATCAAGATGTTTTGCCATGAATGTTGTTCCACAACAACATTGACCGCATTTTTTTTTTTTTTTTTTTTTTTGCGGGAAAAGACTTGGGAGGGGAATGTCGACCTGTGTGCTAAAAGAAGAGAGGCCTCTGTCCGACAGATTTCGTCCGACTCCGCGGTGATCAGGTCGTAGAAGATGAATTATGTTAATCCTGAAATTAAAGCTGATTTTTTTTTTATTTAGAACTATGTCCACTTATCATCGGTTTCAGCTACGCTTATTTTTCATGATGGAAAAAAATATATCTGTGTCGACTGTGTAATTTAAATTTAAGGTGCTCTCTTTTCAATAACGAATTCCAATCCTTATCAATGGTCATCTGAAAATAACCCGTCTAAAATGGTTAAATTAACGCTGTTAGTTTTTTCTTTTTTTATTTAATGTTATGACATGTTTAATGTTCGTAGTGCTATTTTAGATAAAAATTCATTATTTAAAAAAAGAAATCATTTAAGTTTTAGACAAAGTCTCTAAGAAAATGCAAATAAATCGCCTTTTTGTTAAAAAATTCTTGTAAATTTTCAGTTAAATAAATAAAAAAAATGCGTCGAAATTAACAGTTTGAAATTTGAATTGTACATCTTTATTTTTATTTTGTGATTTAAGATTAATTTTCTTTTATGATGAGAAAAAGTAGTTGCATGAAAATTTGATTTCTTTCGAAGCTGACAATAGGAAAATCAACAGACTTTCTTTTTGGAGTGTAGGATTATTTATTTTGTAAATAAATAAAGATTTTTAATTCCTGTTTTTTTATTGTCCTTTCTCCTTTATAATAGTGACTAATAGTAATAGTGTTTTTTTTTTTTTATATTCTTTCACACTCAGTAAGCCCCTCCCCGCTCGTGCGTCTTAATGGCTTTATTGCCTTGCTTGTGATGAAATGATTTAAAAAAACAAAACAAAAAAAATAGATCATTCTATGACGCTAAGTAAGAGGATTTGGGAGGTTTTAGAATTCAGCCCCTCAGTTTTTTTGCTGAAACTAAACACTAAAAATGTAAATGACAACTATTGTTTTTTTGGCCCCAATCTAACAGTGCTATATTGAACTTAGGTTCTTAGCTGTATCATTTGTCTAAAAAAAAAGAAGAAATAATTAATTTTCAAAATAAAACATAAAACTTCATTTTCTGTTTTTTTCCCCCGAAGTACTAGCTTCTAACAACTTATTTTTAAGTCTTATATGCTGAAAAATTCCATAGGTCTCATTTTAAGAAGTACAAGCGAAAAGTTAAAAGTAGAATAAAAACGTGTATTTTTAAAATTTAAAAATACACTTTTTTATTCTACTTTTTAAAATTTAAATTCAAAACAAAAACATATTTAGTAGGATAATAGAAAAATATAGAATCAAGAATCTTTCAAACTTAATATCTTATTAAGCTCCGCCTTTTTTTATTTTGTGGGGCCCCTTCACGTATGTTATTTCCTCAAGATGATTTAACTTGTTTATTTAAATAATTAATAATAGGTCTTAGCCAGGGCGGATTATGGTCTTTTGGGACCCCTAAACTAATGAAATTATGAGACCACCCTCGAACTCACCCACATCTGTCACTTAAAAATGTATTTAAAGTTAAATATTTACTCGAGATAGCGACCGTTACATAGCTTGAAAACTAAAAGAGTAAACTTATTGCAAATTCTTTAAAAAAATTAAAATAGCTATCTTTTGTTTGTCAATAAAAATATTCTTTAAGAAATACTATTTTGCTATTTATTGCAAAACAAATTATGTTTCAACATAACCATAGTAGATAAACATTTTTTTATAATCAACATTATGACAATATAAAACATTCAAAAATCAAAATAAATATCAGTTTATCATATAAAATTCAGTTTATGAAACTATTGAGAAGTTATAGCTTAAAGAAAATTAAAATCACTGCTTTATAAAAAAAATTTCTAAGCTTTAAACATTTTGAACTAAAATCAAATATGTTATCTATTTGAAACACAATGACACAAAACATTCTTTTCTTTGCTGTGCTTCCAGCAAAGTCAGAAAAATATGAGTTTGTCATATTGATATCATTTCAGCTGATGAAACTATTTAGATGTTATAAGATCTGGAAAAATAAAATCATTGCTTTATAAAAGTATTGAGAGGCCCTAGGCTGCAGCCTATACTAGCCTAAAGGATACTCCAGCCCTGGTCATAGCAAGCACCAACTTTCTTTGAACCTCATGGATGGATGCTATAAAATCATAAAGAACTATACCAAATAAGAGAAATCGCATCATTTGAGGACTTATCTGGCATCTCGTTTACAGTTGATCTCTCACAGATGTGCTGTTGCTTCCCCCTGTCTTTTCTACAGATATGTTCATGGTAACTGCTTCAATGAACTACTTCTGCTGGTTCTCAAACTGCATGAATTTAAACGTGCTACTAGATTGGCATCTTAGTCCCACCCTTTCACTGTCGCAACGATTAAATGTAGCCATCTCTTGTACTCCAATAGCTTCATGTCTCACAATTCCTGTCTGTGGAACTCCCTTTCTCTTACTTGCTTCCCTGATAGCTATAATCTCCAAATATTCAAATGCAATATCAATCGACATCTTCAAATGCCCTGATCTATTCCCTGTCCTTCTCTTCATCCTTTCCTCTATCATGCCTCTTTACTCTTGCTCCCACTCTCTGTAGCCCCTTGCATGTTAACAGCACTCCCACCTTGCTTGGGGTGAAATGCTTAAATAAAAAAAAAACAACAAAAAAAAAACAACTTTCAACAGCAGTAACTCAAAGAGAATATAATGATATAATCAAGATGTTGATATTCCACACTTCTTAAAGGTTAGGAAGGAAACCCCCATCAGGACTGGAAAGAGCAGTAACAGTGTACTTGAGAAAACTATTTTTCCTGAAAAATTGTTTTAATAGAAAGACTTCATAAATTTCAATTGAAAGTAGCACTGGCTGCAATATTTATTGTAGAAATACAGGAAATATGGCACCTGGCCAAATTGGAAATGGCTGGTCTTCATCTGTCCTACATTTAACTTAGCTAGACACAATCACTGACTCAAACATACTATAATTTTTCTATACACAAATGCAATGCATTCATATCATTCTTACCATAACACAATTTTTCTATGATGTCCTAACTAGTCCCTGCATGTGAGGGGGTGGGGAATAAAAACAACAATAATTTACACTATATTTGGACTGTTCACTTCATCTTCATTGTTGCCATCTTTGTTGTTGTTCAGACAAAAATTATTGAATCCTGTGATGACAACAACAAAGATGAGGACAATAGTCTGAATAAGAAACGTGTAAATAATGATAACTCCTCATCCGAGAAATTCAGATAAAAGTAAAAACATCTTTTAAAAATTTAACCCTCAGTGAGTATTTACCCTGCTAAAATCCTATGTACAAAACTATAGTGATAGTAATAAAATCCCCCCCAATTCTAAATTGTGGCAGAAATATCAGTTAACAAGATAAAACTGATGAGAGACTAAATAAAGAATCATTCACAAATAAACATGAACTCATCCTGACACAAATATGAAAATCATACAAAATACAAAAAGTATCTCACAAGGAGGCATGGTGGATTAATGGATAGCAGTTCAGATTGAGGAATCACAGAGCCGAGTTCGAATTCCAGTCGAATCCATTTACATTGCTAATACCCTTGGGAAAGGTATGAATCCTCTTCTTCTCCCTCCAGCTATGGGTAAATAGCAGGACAGACCGGGTTCTATAGCCTTGGATAGCAACTGGCCTACCGCAGAAAAAAATGGCAACCTACTGCGGGATAAATGGAGGCACGGTGGAGTAAAGGATAGCGGCTTGGATTGAGGAGTTCCAGTCGAATCCATTACATTCACTTACATACTAACACCCTTGGGAAAGGTATGAATCCTCTTCTCTCTCCAGCTATGAGTAAATAGCAGGACAGATCGGGTTCTGTAGAACAATAGCTGCAGAACCCGATCTGTCCTGTTATTTACCCATAGCTGCCTTGGATGGCAACTGTTCTACCG